TCAGAAGTGTATAGGACAAATCCTGAAATACAGACACAGATTGATTTAGACATCTGTCTTTCTGTAACTTCCATTTTCGTTCTTTCTCCATCCAAATAAAGCTTTTCCTTATAAGTCCACAGTACTTTAGCCAGCTCTCTTTATTTACTTGCATGTCTGTAAGAATTTTTCTGTCCTGTGCACTTTTTTCTGTAACTAAGTTTCCAATTGTCACTGATTATATGCCAAATGATATGATTTCTTACACAATGGCATTGCTTTCTGCAGTTTTACATCCCAGTTCCTTAAACAGTTACAACCCTTTTCACTCCCACCAAATGGTCCTCCCATGTTCTTCATATTGTCTTATCAGTACACTTGCTCCCTGATACTCCCTGCCAGTCCATCCTGGAGACAACTCTGAGAAGCAGTTCTTCAAACACAATGCACCTAATTATGTCTCCCAGTCTTCTCATTATCATTGAAGAAAACTCTCAGGTAACAAATGGGTTAGCTGTTCTAAACCTTTTTTCTTTGTCTTTTATGCATGCCCTTGTTAAGTCATTATCAAGCTCAGTAGAGGAGGCTTTACAATATCAATTATACTGGTTGGATTTTTCCTTAGCTTTATTTTTTACTTCCTTTATCAAGCATTCAGAAGTCACGGCACCCATGTGCTGTTTACTTCAATTCCCAAGGAGATAACAGAAGACCAGGTGATACACAGAAGCCTAAAGGAATCCCAGCTGAGTATTTGTAGCTGCAGATGCTCCTGTAATCTCAGCTGCCGCCATCAGTTATTATTGCATGATGGTCTGGTTTCACCACAGCTTTATTTTTAATCTCTAAAGGTAAAATATCATCTGTTACCTAGTAAGCATTACAGAGACAAAAATCGTGCTCTAAACTCTATCCACAGACTACATGTTCCTTCTTACCAGTATCTTGTAGGAAAAAAAAATATTGTTAGGGATTGAGTTGTTATTATTACTACCTTGGGATTTATATCATGTCCTTAGATGAGTGCTGGCTGTTGCAACAAATGTTCAAATAAGTGCGCAGAAATCCCCCCAAGCTCAATGGGATTCTGGATTTCTCTCGCCTGCTAGCTGATGTTGCAAATCCTGCAGGATGGCTTTTTTTTTTCCTTTCAGTACATGATGCTTTTCATTAAGGGAAAGTAATTTTAGATTCTGAGTCTCAAGCATTTTGCAGTTTTATATGAGCCGATGTCTCCAGACTATACAATAACAGATATCTGGGAGGCTGACATCAGTCAGTTTGTTTTAATAGCTGCTGATGCTGGCCCTAGAGGATCAGCACATCCTACTTTCCCTGGTAAAAGTTCTTTCTGCACAAGCAATTTTGTTTCAGATAGGTATCATTGCCTCCATATGTTATGCAGCTCAGGAATCAGGGTCCTGCACCTGACCTCTCAGGTCCATGGCAAGTAACTTGGAGCTGAAACTCCTAGTTTTTCGTTCACTTAATTAGCAGTCTCTCCAAGTGTGTACGTGAGGCTGGCAATTAACAGCTGCTACTTTTAAGAAGACCCTAATTTCTGCTTTCACATTTGTAAATATATAAATACATCTGTTGCAGTCTTATCCATCATGTTATTGACCTTCATCAGCAGATTGTGAAATTCCCTGGATTAAACTGTTCTTCAACCTACTTTTTGTAAAGGATTTGCTCATTTTGTGCATAGTTTCCTCTTTACTGCTGAATTCATATATGGTAAAGAAGTTGTGAAGGAAGCAAAAAGTAGGGAAATTGATGATAGACTCTTTAATGTACACACGTACAGATTCTTCTTCCTATAGTACAAATTTTACTACTTTACTTTGTATAGCAAGAGACTATGCAGATGTTTTCAAAGCTGCATCTCATCACAGGATTCAGTGTAGTCTTTGCTGCTGCCTCAGAGACACTGCTTTGTTCTTGAGCATTTTGAAATGTTTTGTTCTGTGGGTTGTTTTTTTGTTGTTTTTTTGTTGTGTTTTTTAATTTTTTTTTTAATTCTCTTTTTTAATTTTTTTCTTTTTCTTTTTTATTCCCAGGTGACATTTTCTAAAAATAAAATCTGGGCCATATGCCTTGAAATTGGCTAATGGCAGAAAAAATGATAAATACAATTAGACCAGAAAATCCACTTTCAACATTCTCCCCTCGCTCTATTTTCTTTCTTCTTTACAGTAAAGGAAGAGTCTGACTAATCTTTCATGAACTGTAGGGAAAACAGGAGAATCTTGAATGGAATTTATATAAAGTAGTCAATCCCCTTCTACGAGGACTTAAGAGGTATAGTCATTTCACTTGAAGATGGGAGACAGGTATGAAAGGATTATCCAGAGTTTTTTTGATGATTTAAGAAAGGCTGCCCTACTTGACAGGATAGTTAGCCTTTCTGCCACTTTAATAGGAGGATATAAAAGAAAAACTACCCAGTGAGCCTTAGGAAGCCAGGAATTACAAGAAGTTCCAGTGGAGAGCATCTAAGAAATCAATAAAATGTTCCAGAAGTTCCTCCAAGGTATGAGAGGAAGGAAATTTGAGGGGAGGGAGGAAGGAGGAATGAATGTCAAACCTCTGACAGAAGCCCAAAAGGCACAGACATTGACTTCAAACTCTTGTTATCTCTACACCTAACTTCTTAATGGGGGAGAGAATTAATGGAATAGAAGAAGAGAAAGACTGCTTTCTCTGTGAGCACTAAGAGTCACACTTGGAGGTACTGCATTAGGCACTGTGGCCACACATGCCCAACTCATACTTACCACCGCAGTATCTACACCTCCTTAGCACAGGAGAGACAGAAGCGTCGTACAGTGCAGTATGCTGTTCGTGGGTGATGGTGGTCACCCACCCCCAGCAATCCTGATACCGTCTCACTGACGGGACCTGTGTCTCCAGATCCTCCTTCCTTAGCTCCAAGCAACCACTGAGAAGAAAGGTTTTCTAGGACTCCTCAGGACTGACGTGCAGGCTCAGCGCTGAAGTACACGCTGCCCTGTGATTAACGGAAGGGCTGACCTCCTGACCCGTGGGAAGGCATTTAAGAGAGTGTGACCCACAAGAAGGCAGTATAGATAGCCTAGCTTTGTCATAGGCTCTGCACCTTGGCAGTGAAAGAAGCAATGTGGGAAAGGTGGCTTCAGGCATTTTAAATGGAAGAGCTTTGAAAACTGATTAAGCAAGTAGAATGCAGAGCTGAGTCACTCTGTATTTGTCTCTGTGTGCATGTGTACATATATAGACACATATTTTTGTAAGTGTGTGCATATTTGAGTGAGGATATGAAAAAAGAAGGCATACACTTCCAAAAGCCAGTGCAATAACAAATTGTGAGCTGAAGCTGTCACATCATATGAAACAGACCCAGAGAACACGTGAAGACACATTATAGGTATTTTAAAATTTCACTGTTTTGCTCACATTTGGTAGCATTTAGATCTGATATCCTTTATGGTACTTTTTTTTTTTTCCTCCTGAAACCAACATTACCCTTGTGAAGCAGTGTTTGACGAAAATGCAAAAAATCTTGGCTAGCAAAATATTTTATATTTTTATGTCCCAAAGTCTTATCATTCATCTTCACACAGTGAAAAAAACACTGATGTTCTTATGAATAAAAGAAGGATTAGGAAGATTAAAATGCACACCACTGGACTTGCTGAAGAAAGGTTCAAGTATGAGCCCTGAGGATCATGGTTGAAACTATGCTCCCCTTTACTTACAGGTAGTTCAGAGAGATGACAGGTCCAGATCTTCCCCATATTGAGTTTCTCATATGAGTTGCAGTAAAAAGAGCATTGCAAATAGAATGCTGCCAAGTGAATGATCAGATTTTATGTTATTTATTTATTTTTGTTATTACAGCCAGATGTTGCCTCAGGAAGTTGAAACAAGGAGTCAGGAACTGACAGCTTAATAATTAAATTGGGAAAGTTGGCAGGCCTCCTGCCACTTCCTCTCATACGCAGCATCTATGAGAGAAAGTGTGCAGTATTCCAGTGGCTCTCCTTCTGAACAGGCTCATCTATTACTGGGTAACGATTTTCCGTCAAGGAACAGCAAAGCACAGGGCCTATTACACCAGCTACATAGAGTTAAAAAGACATTATGAATAAAACGCTCGCCGTGGCTTTTACCAACATTTCAACACAAGGCTGCCTAATGCTGATGTGTGTTTATTACACTTAATAATGTTTACATAATTCTTCCTTGAGCTCATTACGGCTGTCAGAAATCTGAATAGAGCGTATTTTTGCCCGTGTGTATCTCCCGAAGACTGTAAGCCGAGATGAATGGCAGCTGAGATAGAGACTTTGTGGCTGGTTTCCCATCCCGGCCAGAGCATCATCACACCTTTTCCCCTCTTTTGGGATTTCTTCCCTTTGAGAAATGCAACATTTCACTCCTGGAGCTCCCCGTGGGCCCAAGCGCCTGCAGAAAGCACAGGAATCACGCCAGCACCAGGGCAGGAGGAGGCACACAAGCCCCGAAGGTGCTGTAAGCGGGCGCCAGGCTGCGAGTTTGCTGAGGGGCAAACTTTACCCACAGGCTGCAGGCAGCGCAGTTAAAAGAACTGCTGCGGCGGCACCTTCGGCTTGCAGGGCGAGGGGGCGAAGCCCGCCCAGTGCCCTCGCTCCCTGGTACGCAGTACCGAGGACGGCGGAGGTTCGGAACGCAGCTGACGGCGGGCGGACAGCGTGCTCCTGGCCCGCAGAGCCCCCGCCGCCCCTCAGAGGGGGGAAAAAATGGCGGGCAGGGCTCCCCTCCGCGCGGGCGGGAAGGGGGCGCGCGAACCCCCGGCGGCCCCGCCAGGGGGCGGGGCGGGGCGGGGCGGGGCGGGGGGCCGGGGCTGCCGCCGCCGCTGCCGGCTGCACTGGCGGGGCGGTGGCGGGAGCGGGAGGCTGCGGAGGTAAAGCGGGGCCGGCCGGTAACGGGGGAGGCGGGGAGTGGAGTGCGGGGCCAGCTGCTCGTTTGTCAGTCCCTCCCGCGCGTGTCTGGGCTCGTACCTGTGCGCGGTTCGCTCGGGTTGGGGGCGCGGTGGTTATCTCCGCGTTGAGCCCGTTAGCGGCTTCGCGTTAGTGCCTGCGCGCCTTATTCCTTCTGCTTCGCAGACAAAAGCGTACCCGAGACGTCGTGAGGGAGTGATTCGATATAGCGTGAAGTCGTGCTTGTGCTCGGGACCCTGACAGCCCCGAACCGGGGTAGAGTAACCGCTGCTGCTGCCGCCGCTGAGCTACCCTTCGCTGTCCTGTTTACCGTCATTTGCATCAAGGAGTAGTTATCCTAGCGGGAAACAAGCAAAAATACCTGATGTTTACCTAGTTTCATTAAAACAAGCTAATGGGTCTTGGCAGCGCTTGTTGTAAAAAGTGATTCAGAGGATGAAAGCAGGATCCCAGCCGGGGTGCGCTTTGGTGAATGAGATTCCAGCGCAGAGAGCTCCACGGTGTGCACTGGGTTTCTTTTAGCTAGCTACTTCATCCCCGTGCGTGTAGGTTAGTTACTTACTTGAGTAACTCGGTATATGGCCGGGAAGGCGTGCAGTGCAGGGTGGCCCTTCTGCTCCTTCGGGGAGCGAAATCCTCTGCCAGCCACCGCACCTTCCTGTCTTGCTGTGGGACGGTGCTGGGAGCTCGGGGCTGGAGCAGGGATTCCCGCTGTGGGAGCGGGGTGGGCTGTGTGAGGGTCTGCGGGAGCCCTGCTGCTGCCCGCGAGTCAGGGATACCTCGTTAGCAAACGCGATGTGAGGGCTCAGCAATGTGCCTTGCTTGTTGCAGGCGCCGATACAGGGAGGTAATGTGAATGCTGTTTATGCAATTTTGATGTTTTCTGTCTGTACAATGTTGTCTGTATTGAGAATGGCAGTTTGGTCATTTGAATCTGTGGCAGAATTGTGCTGGGTTTGATAGCGTTGATATTTTGCCTTTGGGTGAGATGTGCTTAATAGCATTTTAGCAAGCTTCGTGTAACACAATATGAAGGGCTTAATCATTGGCGATGAATGCGGTCTAACTTAATGCTTTGAAGAGGGATAGGTAATGATAACATGGCTTCTGAAAGCAAAATATTTAATGTAGCAACACAAAATATTGTTGCCCAAGGACTGTGCTGTACCCAAAGAATGCCAGTCAGGACAGCACAGCAGCAGCCCAAAGAGAGGGAATTGGCTGAGACTGTTCTTCAGCTCTTACTCTTGGAAGAGTTCTCATGAGAAAGTTTAGCAAGCATAGGTTAATTATAGATAATGTTATGATTAACTGAAGGAATTGAATACCTAGCGCAAGAGCCTGTGCTGTGTGGGAGAAGCTGATTTAGGGTAAAGTGGTGACAATGTAAACTTAGACCAGTTGTGTGTGGTGAAAGTTGCTACGTGGACATCACTAGTTTTCAGTTCTGGTTATGTCATTTGGGAAGAGTTGGAAGCAAAACTGAAAATAACATAGCTCTTGAAATAAGAGATCGAGAGCTGGTGTGTGCTTTGGTTTTTACCAAGAAAGACAGTTTTTGATTTAAAATATTAACCAAGCCATGGGCTTGATGTGTCAGGGTCTGTCTGAGCCTGATTTAATGACCAGAGAAGGTTGGTCCTCAGCTTTTTGTATGGGTAAGTTTCCAGAGAAATACATTTTGCTAACTGAAGGGTTGCAGTATTGTCCCTCTATAGTAGTGTGATAGTAAACGAGAGTGCTTACCAGTACAGGATCTCCCTTAATGTGGGTTCTTGTTATTCTGTGACTAAGTATGTGCAGGCTGGCTCCAAAGCAGATAGTCAGTTGCACTTTGCATCTCGTCTGATTCTCTTCTGCGCTTTCTTGCAGAGCTGGGGGATCTTGCAGTCCACTTGCCTTTTCAGGCTAAGTCACCACAGTAGCATTATGGTAAAGCATCTCTGTTATACTCGAAAATCAGGTTTTCTCCAGGTAGAAGGAGTGACACCATGAAGGAGTGCTTCACCGTGATGCCTTTTTGGTTTTCTGCTAAAGTAGTTTTGTCTGTAAAAGAGATTTATTGACGGTAGCTTGTTTCAGGGCTAATGGGTCTCTAGTATGGGTGAGGTGTAGAAGGTTCAGTATTCTCACATATCCATGTTTCTCTAGAATGAAATGAGTTATTCTAGCAAATTCCTAGTTATGAGGTGACCACAGGTGTGTATAGCAGGAGTGTGAGCCAGATGTGTCTGAAAGGGATCATCCACTTTCGCAGTTCTGTCCATATGGATATGGTGGGAGAGGTATGGTAGTATGAATAAAGTCCCTGTGAATTCTGTAGATCTACATGTGTAAAATCAGAGTTGCAGTCTTGTTCTACCACATCTGTGCCAACTGCTGTATGAAACACCAGTATTTTAGAGACAAAGTTCTGATTTTCCGCAGTTTTGCACCCTAAGGTGTAGTTCTCCAAGTATGTGTTACTAGCAATGATTTAAAAAAGTAGCCGTTCCTGGATGGGATGCTGTACAAAGCTGGTATGGTGTCATCCAAATATTGTGAGCAGTTATGGTGTGCTTTGTGTCACAGTGGAATTTTCTTCTAACCCTTCTCAGCTAGCAGTTACTTTATGCATGAGGTTTTAATGTATATTCTTGCCTGTTTAATAACTTGTAGTTTCCATAATATCTTGTAGCATTGAACCCTGTAAGTTATTGGCATTGAGTATGTTCTCTTTCGATATCATTGACTATCTCCTTGTTTATATATTAAGGGGAGACAGCAGTTATTGAAATTCCTTATTTATAATAACAGAGTCTATTAAAATGCATATTTTAAGTGCAAACTACTGTTAAAGCTTAGGAAAGACTTTGGGGGAAAAAATTGTGTCAAATCTTGACTCTTTGTAGGTTGTGTTCTAATTAAATATTCAGTATTATAGGAGACAATATTTGAGTCCCAAGACACTGATGAAATGTCAGTTAAATTGTATTTCCCTGCTTCAAAGTAAAGTGTAGTACTCCATTTGCTGCAATACTGGGAAATCTTTAAAAGTTGAAAAATCATTTAACTCTGAAATCTATAGTTTAATTCATATTCAAGGTATATAAATTGGAAAATGCTGAACATGTAGGAAGTACAGGCATAAAACCCTAGAATTAGGCCCACTGGGAAAAAGCCAAAGGAAATACAGGGAAGTGTAGAGAATTTGTATTCCATATAGGTAAATTCTACTTCTTTTTCTTAAATTTTTTTTCAGGAGCTACTCTTGTTATTGAAAGCAAAAAAACTTCATTTATTAAATATTTGTGTCATTTGTTGAAGTAATACTTTGGAGATTCTGGATTTATTTTCTATACCAGCCTAAGTTTTCTGTATTGTTCACCTTTCTTTTATCCTGACAGAGTGAGCGTATTATTGTCAGCTTTGATTACAGCCATATACATTTTTGTAGCGCTTTATAGCAAGTGTGTAGGGCAGTAGACCCTGTCATATCACATGCCTAACTTTTATGACTTTGTTTTTCAGGAGTTATGGCAAGTCTGCTAGCCAGGTCAGAATTAAAATTATTTAGATACAATTGACATATGCCAATAGTAATTAAATGGTGAAATGCACTTCAGCTCATTCAATTTTCCTTTTCACTAGATTTTTTTTTTTACTATTTTTGTTTTTAATATAGAGTGCCAGCTGTGCTAATTAGCATAGCACTCTGGAAGTCCTCTCTAAGCTAAACAGAGAGGATAGGACAAAGAGATAAGCAAAACCCCAAACCTGAAGAAGTAAAAGTGTCAGTCTTCGAGCTGTTAAAAAAACTTTGCACATAGAGTGGGTTTTGTCCTTATTAGACAAGCGATGGCAAAATCTTTCCATGTTGTGTGTAGGACTTCAGACCTGAGTTGAATCCTGTGCTGATGTGTGTGTTTATGCTGTGTACAGGCAGAGGGGTCTCTCTTCAGAGAGGTGCTGATTTCTGTTTTACTTCTGGCGCAGTGCTACATCTTGTCTGCCACTTTTTAGTAGGCTGGCATGGGGAGTTTAGGTAGGCAGCATTAAAACTACCACTATGCAACAGCTCTGGTGCGTTTGCCATGGCTTTTCCATCATGGATACAGAATATTATAGATACCTGATGTCTGTCATTGTTATTAAATTGCTGACGGATTATTTACTTTGGATATGTCTATAATACGCAGAATTCTGCTTACAGTATACAAAAATGAGTATATGTGTGTGTATAAATATTTCCATGTCCATTTTTCAATCTTAAAACATATCTTATGCTCTTGTGTGAAACTTCTTCAGCAGCCGTGGGGGTAGGTTTTGAACTTGTATGGCATAATCTTAAGGTCCAGGGCTGCTGGTTGTTATTGGAGTGTTTGACAGTTGTGATTCTGGAGGTTTTAGCTCCTAGGTAAATATGAAAAACCTGCTCCAGGCAGCAACAATATGTAGCAAAGTAATAAAAGACAAGCTTTAAATAAATGATAAATAGAATCTTTATTAAACCCATTCTCACATATGGTCAGCATCCTACAAAGGTATATAGAAAGCTGCCATCCTTGAGTCTCTGAATGAAACCTGATTCACCTCCTGCGAGGGCATGCTTTACACTGCCAGGCAAGCAAGATTGCTCTCAATAGATCAGTTCATGTAATGCATCTTCCTTCTCACACATCTCCTTCCTCTTGTATCTGTTTTGACCTATGCCTAGATTCTCTCTGAATGCTTTGGAATTAGTGCTGGTAAGTGAGTAGCAAGTACTGCTCATCAAAGTAATGCAGTACATGCTATCTCAAAATAATGATTAGAAATGTTTTTTCTTTGAGAGGGTATTTTAGCCCATGTTATCAGCACATTGAAATATTTTAGTGTTAATGATATTCAAGAATTTAATTTAGCAAAAATCTTAGAAGTAACTAGTAAGAAAATCCTGATGTTTAAAGCTTTCAATCTCGAGTTCAAAAAACAGGCAAAGGAAGTTACAGATCATGTGTATTTTATTTTTCTTGGGATCAACTGCAGGAAGTTGTATAGCTGCATTCTAAACCACATTTAATTTTCTTTAAATGTAGATATTTCTTTGTTTGCTCACTGTAAAAAAAAAAAAAAAAAAAAAAAAAAGCTGTTCCAGAGAGATCTGTGTTTAGGTGATCTGAGACGCTACTCATGAAGCTGTGCATCTACTTGTCAAATCCTTTGTGCTGCTCTTCTGAGGTTGTCCTCAGAAGAACTT